CTTCCACTTCGCTCTCCTTCCTTCCCGCTTTTATTAGCCACTTCCCTTTGCCACTTCTCTTTATTCTCCCCCCCTCTCTCTCTCTCTCTCTCTCTCTCTCTCTCTCCCCCTCGTTTTCTCTCTCTCACACACACAAACAGACACACACACACCCACACTCACACACACACTCACACACACACACACACACACACACACACACACACACACACACACACACACACATTCACCTATTATTTTATCTCTTTCCACACTTTTTAAAACGAGCAAACTTTGAACCCTCCCCCCCACCCCCTAACAAACACACGTAGACGTGGGCGTACAGGTTTCACTCACGAGAACAAAGAACCGTAATGGTAATCTTTCACCGCTCCATCATTCTTAAATAAGTTTAAAGCTTCATCCGCCCAACACGTCACTGCGGCATAAAATTTACTTACAGGGGAGTGAAGACTCAGGATCTGAGTTGTAGGTCAAGTATGTTCCAAATGGGAGGCTAAAATTAACTTTTACTTCTAAATCATAATATCTTATTTGGACTTGATGCCAAATTTTCAATTCACTCCTTAGAGCGTCTAATCTTGTCCATAGCTGGGTCTTAATGCCTCATGCTCACATGTGAAGCTACCTATTTTTGCATTTATTTGCAGTAAACAAAACAAAATGTTCTACCCTTTGCAGACGCACAGTCATACGGAGACATACAGATACACCCACATATATAATACACATGCAAACAACCCAACCCGCATACCATTCTACACACCACACCACATACACACTCTCTCTCTCTCTCTCTCTCTCTCTCTCTCTCTCTCTCACACACACACACACACACACACACACACACACACACACCGCCACCACCACCACCACATGTATCATAAACACACTCGCACATACACACGCACACATATACAAACACAAGCCTGCACTAAAAGGAACACACGAATACATTAACAGGTTCTTTTATTTCCTTAAGAGCCATTAAGTGCGATCTGGAAATCAGGAAATAGTCTGCTGTAAAGGCATTTCCGGTTTCCTTGCTGTCATCTTAAATCTTTTCCCTTGAAAAAAATGTCTTATCACTGAGCAAACAAAATATGTGTTTTTGTTTGAACAGATTTACCTCACATCTTCTTAGCATATTTGTGCCATGATTTTGATTTGGACCTTCTTTGTTATTATGCTCTATCCACAAAGTCAAAGCTACTTTCACTACTTTCAGTTCCTTTATACATCTACTTTTGTCTACTTAGGTGGGAGGTTGGAGGGCGTCACTGGTAGGTTCTACTCCTTTTTCCCCCGCTTTGTTGTTTTCGTCTATCATTTATCTCGCTTTTCCCCACCACTAAATTGCCGTTATTCTGTCGATGTTCTTCTCTCTACACAAACAAACAAACAAACGATTTGACAGACCTAGAAATCTATCCCGACTCATGTAAATAATTTAGTGAGGCCATTACAAACTCTCAAAGTCAAGTTCGCGCGATTTTACCCCTATATGTAGCGCGTCTGTTGATACGCGTTGGTACCTTACTTAGTATGGCACTGAAGACCTTGGTGCGAATTCTAAATGTCGCGTCGCATTTTTTAGCTTGGCTTGTTCGGTGAGTTTTCAAAACTATCCATCTACCTAACTCAGTTCTATTGGAGATAGACTTTGAAATTAGAAGTCATGCTTCTCAAATAAATTCTGGAACAAAAAGGTGTTGAACCTGTATCGTACAATAAGAAACTGTCATCTGTTTAATTAGATATTATCTTCTCGGAGTCTACTGCAGTCATGCATAGCTGTGACAGAATGCATTAGAATCAATGATGTACACGACATCATTACACGCCATCAACGGAATCTATCCGGGCAGGTTAACACATCCTCACCTGAACTTGACCCCTAATTAACCTTGTCAGAGCTCTCAGGTCGAGGGCTTATTGGTCCTGCTGTGGGATTTTCATTCTCTTTTAATACCAGCTGTCAGAACAGGCGGTGGTGTTCCATCTCTAACTCCCTCTGTATGTCTGTCTTCTTGTATGTCTGTCTCTCCCCCCTCTCTCTCTCTGTCTCTCTCTATCTCTCTCTTTCTCTTTCTTTATCACTCCCTTTCTCTCTGTCTGACTGTCTCTATTTGTCTCTCTCCCTTTTTGTCGTTCTCTGTAGTCTCTCTCTGTCAATCTGTCTTTCTATTTCTATCTGTTTCTCTCTCTCCCTCCCCCCCCCTCTATCTCTCTCTCTTACTCACACACACACACACACACACACACACACACACACACACACACACACACACACACACACACACACATGCACACACAATCAGCTCAAGGACTGAGCTATGAGCGCAAACGGATACTTCGAAAGGCACCGGAAAGTGGGCTGTGAGGCATGGAAACCTGGGATGAGAAGGATGGAAATTGTTCAAATTGATTTTGGGGGTGGGAAGGGGACGGCGGTGGAGAGGATAAGTTAGGGTGTGAAGGTGGAGCCGTTGGAGAATTGGGATTTTTAGATTTTCACCGATCTTGATGAAGAGAAAGATGAGCTTCTAGCGCCACACCTTTCTGTTTACATACGGGCTGCCCTCGGGGTCAGGTCACCTTGACCTTGTCCGGCCACGGGCAGGTGTATAAATATCACTAAGGACAGTTTATATTATGTTCTCAGGTGATGCTTGTCATCTGTTATTTTCAAGTGTATAACTGTGATGGCGCGGCAGCTAATGCACGCCAACAAGCGGATGTGAATGGCTTACAAGGTTAAATATGGTTTGGTGCACCCTTTAGGTGCGCATCCAAAATCTAGCTGTACGGACAGCAAGAATTGTTTCAAAGAGCATTCATGAAATGTATTGTATCGAAAAGGGATGTTAAAAAAGATAAGTGCTTGGGCGGGTGCTCTGGTGTGGTTTACTTCCTCTTTCCTATCAAACGTCTACCGCCCTTATCTCTTCTCCTTTTATTTATAATATGTTACTTCTAATAACAACTAAACTCTTCGGCGCTTATATGGCCAATTTGTGTTTCCAGTGCAGCAAAACTCTTGAAAGAACTAAAACAGAATATGAAAAAGGACAGACTGCATAGATTATACGTCAATCAGGAACCAGCCCTAAGCTGTATATGGAATAACTTTGTGTGGCATTGAGCACCCGCATCACATTATATTGTTGGTAATTACCTTGTCCTTGTCGTCTTTTCAAGATGATTACGACATAACGCCAAATTTTCTGTCTTGGGTAAATAGAATCATGTATCTTAGCAGAGAAGTATTCATAGAGAGAAAAGGGTGGCAGCCATGACGGTGTAGGGTCAAGGATATTGTCGTAATTAAAGTCTCTACTCCAAATATAATCTGACTGTGACTATTTATTTGGTATGGCGCTTCCCTCAGGGCGAAACCTCCCAAACTAACAAACTTACTTTAAGAGCATTCGGCGTACCAAAATCGGAGAGGGGCTAATTGGCTGGGGAGATGGAGAAAAATGCGGTCAAAGTGGACTGGGCAATATTTGAGCAGAGATATGGTCTAAGTGACAGAGTGGTATGCACCTGTGTTTTCTCTCCATTCGACCTCGCTCGCTTGTGGATAGAGCGTCAAGAGGTGTTCTTGATAAGTGAATCGTTGGAAAGGTTGTGTAGAAAGAAGAAAGAGAGAGAGAGAGAGAGAGAGAGAGAGAGAGAGAGAGAGAGAGAGAGAGAGAGAGAACTTATGTTCATCTGCAGATTTGAATTATGCACTCTGACATTAAGCTGTGGAATCGTTATAATATTCCTCGCCTCGGCTCAAAAAGACATAAGTGCGATACTCGCTTGGAGAAGTCTTGTTTTATCAAGCATCTCTGTCTTATTTCTGGGATGTTATATCCAAATTAGGCAGAGTTGACCCTGACATACAGGGTCGAATCGGCCGGCATTTCGCAGATGCTCTACTAAACTGTTACAGCAGTGCATTAAACATGTGAGGTTATTTTCTGACATTACGTACAGGGCGTCAATATCAAACATCAAACTGCTGTCTCAGTAGGGCATGCGGATTCCTCAACACTTATTCCGCTGTGATCTATAGACATATGTTTGTTTTTCTCTTTGCTATTAACAGAAGTATTCTTAGAAGATCTAAGAAGCTTCCCTCTTTCAGAACCCTTCCTATTATTATTCCTCTCACAAGGAGATGCTGCTCTCTCTCTTTGACGGGAGGTGCCGGTCTGTCTTGGCAATGGCGCTTCTTCTGCGGCGACGTCTAAACGTTGCGTAGGTTTATCTTTTTCATGGTTATAGTTTTCTTCTTGACATCTGTGGGTTGCTATTGCCTGGATGTACATTGCTGTCCTGTATAGGGGATAGAACATAGTCAAAATAAAAAATAATACCCGATTTTTGATCATCCGTGAAAGAGTATAAAACATTGATAATTAAAATTTAAAAAGTGACAACGTGTCACCATTTACCGTCTTTTAAATAGAGGAATATTCTATTGGCATCCTGTTATATTATATATTTAACGCTCGAAGCTAATTTCAATTTTAACCAAAAGTCTCCTGCATACTTTTTAATAAACTCACCGAAAATGTACAGACATGTACACAACAGCAACAACAGCGATGACAACGATAGCGACAACAACAACAATAACAGCATAGATTATGACGGCAAGGACAGAGAAATAAATTAAAAGCAGCAACAACAAATAAATAAACTCTCAAAAAGTATTCCTTCTCCTTTTCTTCTTCCTCCTCCTCCATTTCGTCCTCCTGAGCATCGTCATTCTTTTACGCATCATAATATAACAACAACAAAAATCATGGAAAAGAGGAAGGAGGAGGAG